ATGAAGTGCGAAAGCTATAACTTCCATCATGCTTTGTTCAATATGATGATGGCATCGCTGCACATTGCCTATTCTATGAAATCAACGGTAGGTACTTAGAAAAGTGACCTTATTATAAAGAGAAGTTGCCTCAAATTTCCCATTATCACGTGGCTTGATTGACGCATAATACTAGGTGGAATATGTTTGTACGGTACTCAACCTCATTCCCAGGACTTCCCTGCTAGCTTTTTTTCAAAATGGAGGACAGAGAAAGCACTGACATCGGTGGGTCTTGCTACATCACGGGCGTTGATAGAGGCCCAAAAAGTCCTCGATTCCAAAGGTCAGCGGAGTACATAGTGATACCGGAAGTTCAATACACAGACTGGCGTGATACATTACTCCAATGCTCGTCATTGAACAATTATCAAATGAATAAAAGACATGTCAGATCTATTTGTAGTTTTTCRATTTTCGCTGTACTAACAATTAATATCAAATGATCGATTTGTAGTTCTGCAATTTTGATAAAATTGTTGTACTCATTTTTAATGAGTTTTTCCAACGGATGGGTTTTCAGTTACAATTAAATAGATAAATAAATAAATAAATAAATAAAATAGATAAATAAAAAATAAAAAGGAAAACGGAGGATAATTAAAATTTATTGGTGTCTATATCTATAAGGTGTAGATAATATGTATATGTGGATAATAGTGGCTAGTATGGAACGAAAAGAATAGTACGTTTGCTTGAACGTGTAGGGCGTGTTTGAACAATGAAATAGTATATGTGAGGTGGACTTGGAGCATAAAATAACAAGAGAGTATGAGACGATGATAAGCGTGTTAATGAAGGAATTGTAGAAATAAGGTATAGTGAAGGGTATAATGGGGAGAAGTGGAGATAAATGAAAGTGCAAAGCGTACATAGTAAAGATGGGTGTTAGTTTAGGGAGTGGATAAAACATAGTGTACAAACAGCGGGATACTTAATCCTTATTTCGTCCCATTATCAACGCATTTCATCTTTTTTTAATTTCRATTTATTTATTTTCAAAGGAGAAATAATAATTCCTGCAAAAAATGCAAGTGTGTAGATGACCACCAAGACTGGGTCAGCTKTGATGCATGTGGACACTGATATTTTCACGCATCCTGCCTTGACATGGCAGCTAGTGAAGCATTGTCACGCTATTTCACGTGCTCTACATCAAAATAGATCAGTCGGTAGAGTATTATTACAAGTCTTACTTATCACAACCGAGTTTCGTTTTAGAACATTTCATGCATTTTAATACACAGTGGCGGATCCAGCAGGGGTTCCATGGGTTCCTAGGAATTACCCCCCTCAAGCATAAAAAAGTAAAATAAATTTGTTCAATATGCATTCACGYTACATTTGCTACAGTTTGAGAGGCACAGTACAAAAGGTTCGTTTTCGGAAAATGCGAAAACAAAGTGAACACCCCTTTGAAAAATCCTGGATTCGCCACTATCCACAAWTATTCTAGTTATCAAACTAGAGGTAGGCGATTGCTTGTTGCTTATCCTTTTAGTATCATGCCTTTAGTATCTACTATAATATATCAAAAAATATATCATGATCGCTTTAAATATCAATTACTAGCATTTCTAAATCAGTACGTATTTCAATCATTTAGGCATGATTGTCAGCGATCATAACGAAAATTACCGTAAACTCTATCTATATCTGAAATAATATATCCTTTTGTTGTAATAGTAGCCTTTCATGTTATATTAAAGCTTCTATCCTGCAACTTTGTACATCACGCTTTATATCACGCCAGTCTGTGTATTTAACTTCCGGTATCACTATGTACTCCGCTGACCCTTGAAATCGAGGACTTTTTGGGCCTCTATCAACGCCCGTGATGTAGCAAGACCCGACATCGGTTGGTCAAGTGACACCAACATAGCGTGGCTGTTAAGTGTGGATTACCGCTTAATGCAGGCGCTAAATGATAATGTGCGGAGCACCTTTTTTTTTCAATTTTTCAGAAAATTCTGAAAAACGTTTTCCGTGACAAAAAGTTACAACAATTGAGAAAGCAATGAAAACAGAGAAAAATATCAAACAATAAATATTCATATTCCGATACCAGGGCCTTTCCTTTTCTCCTCTCGGAAAAAAAATACTGGGAACGAGGTTGGCACGATCTGATTTACATAAAGTGAAATTAAACGGAAAAGCATCTACTTTTCCTATGATAAGGTAATATGTGACGTCACCTGGCATCGAAATCAACAACCATGCAGCAATAATAAGAAAAGGATTCTGGGTAAAAACTGCAGGGAGTCCTTACTGCCTTACGTAAAGTGAACATACAGTGATGGTGTTTGGGTTGCCTGTGTCAAACTCTACATTCTTGGTAAACTGAGGCCCGGACGTCCTGCAGAAATCCCGAGTAATTAGAAACAACGGACGTGACTCGCTGCCTTGGGTCATGACCCGATAGCGATGAATACGCGTTATTGATCACAGTTCCGCATTCTCATAACTGATTGCTTGGCAGAGTCTGACTACATATTTGTCGGTATGTATTGCATGTACATATACATTAAGGATGTAGTCTTATTACTTATGTCTTACAACAAACAAGTAACCGATCTGATGCTGTACTTTAGTTCAAAATATACTTCGGGTTTCTTGATCTAATGGAAAGCGAAGTACTGCGAGATACTAATCAAGCTGTGTTTCTAGTTGCTTTTTTTATCAGTTAATCGAAGCATATATTCAGTAATAATTAGTTAATACATGATAAATCTAGTGTTAGCTGAAAAAGTCGTAAAAAGCAGCTTACAAATATACTTTGTTACTGCTTTATCAAGCTGTCAGTTTTGTAAAGATAGCATTTCAAAGATTTGCACATGCCTCTTGTCGATTACCGTATAGGACGAATTTAGCAGCTTCAAACAATTCGAAGTGCGATTGTTTGCTACAGATTTGGCTACTGCCGGTCAATTAGATAGACAAATATGTATTTCATCGCCTTATAATAACTGCATCTAAAATTTATCGTAATTTAATATTTCTTGCTGACCTTTTTTACTGAATATGTACTTGAACTGCATTTCTCTCAACTTCGTCCAAAATAGGTGTATTGACAATCTTTCCGAGTTAAACAGTAAACA